CTTTTCTCCCTCTCTACCTATGGTTTACCGGGCAGCTCTGTTTAACGATATCTATACATATATATATGTCGTTTGTTTTCGATATGCATAGAAATGTTGTTAGCGTTTTGATTAATTGTAGGAAATTATGTCAATAAGGACGATAGCAAATCCAAGTATTACCTAAGCCTATAGTGTAGATACAAATAGCGATTCAATACTTTATGAAATCCCAATTGAAAATATAATGGATACTGAGAATTTAGAGGGAAGTGTCAAATGTACGCACCAAATTTTGACCATTCACGTCCTCCTACTTTGTCCTATCCTTCATTTTGTTACGCTATCACCCTTCATTTCTTCATTTTTACCAGTTATGCTTCTACTCTATCTTTTTTCAATTATGCATAATTTAAATAATCATTCTATGGAGAAAGGCATCACATGTTCACTGTAGGTCTAGACATAGATTCTTCGGAGTCAAAGGGAGTTGTAAAGTTGTCTCTTACCACTAGGTTATTTGCTGGGAACCCCTATGAATCTTGGTCCTCCGAATTCTCACACATGTGAAATAATATCCTTTTTTTTTTTAATTTTGCTTTAAAAAATGAGGTTTCCCTTCTAATGTGAATTATAAGTTAGAGATAAAATAAAAGTATGGTTGAATTTATTAAATATTGTGATAAAACTATCATTTGATTTTACGAAGTCAGTAAGATGTCAATCTGATAAAAATTGCAAATAAATTTACTATAACAGAATGAAAGTCTAATTAAGATATACAATGAACTCATCCAAATTTTCATTCCAACTTCAATATATAATTATAGCTAGCTAAGTACCCGCAGTGAGGGCGGTGCGGGTTACGCCCACAGAAATAACAAATAAAGTGGGTAACCGCACATTGCATTTCAAATGGTTCGCCTCCAAGATGTTCGTCCGCAAAAACAACGACGGCCTTCCAGGGGTCACAAAACGACAGTCGAGCGAGAAATTAACAAAAAAAAAGGAAGGAAAAAAAAAGACACAAAACAACAATCAATTTGGGGGGGGGAGGGGACAAAAGTTGTCCGCATATCGGATGGCTCGCCTCCAATATGTTTGTTTGCATCAACATCAGCCATGTGCCCCGCCCCCAGGGCGCGTGCTCTCATTTAATGGCGCGCTGTGAACGTTTCGTTACACGCACCTCTCTGCACACTCCCTTGACCTCGATTGCCTTCATCCGCCGCCCCTCACCAAAACTTTGACCCGAATCCGACACGCGGGACATCACGGACCTTCCCCCTGCAGCCAATGTCCGCATATTGGATGGCTCGCCTCCAAGATGTTTGTCCGCATCAACGTCAGCCATGTGCCCCGCCCCCAGGGCGCGTGCTCTCATTTAATGGCGCGCTGTTAACGTTTCGTTACTCGCACCTCTCTGCACACTCCCTTGACCTCGATTGCCTTCACCGCCGCCCCTCACCAAAACTTCGATCCGAATCCGGCACGCGCCACATCACGGACTTCCCCGCTGTAGCCAATGTTGCTTAAACCACCTGTACCTCCGAGCCTGTTTTTGCCAACCCTGGATTTCAAGTCTGGGTCCTACTCCATTTCTTTATGGTACTCTCACGGGGCGAAAAAAAAAAGGGGAAAAAAAAAAAGTTGTGGCCTTGAAACTCACAAAAAAAAAAAGAGGAAATAATGCTCTGCCCATGATTGCATTTGTATATATTATTGGAAGTGGTAGTGTGAGTGTACCTTCAATGAGGGCATCTCAGCCCTGTGGCCAGGTTGTCAGGTTTCAAAAACACACACAAAAATTAAAAAAACACAGAAACACGTATTCGCCCGTGAAAATGGTTGGATACGTTCCTCTAAGTGTCAGTGTGACAAGGGTTACAATCCTCTGAGGGAACACAGCTCGAGCAGATCATGGATTCAGATTGTCAAATTTCAGAAACAGAAAAAAAAAGGAAACAGAAACACGGATTCGACCATGAAAATGGTTGGATACAGCAGCGTTACAATCCTTAGACGAAACACGATCATCGCAGATCACAGATTCCGCCCTGTTAGGGGACTCATATCAAACAAACGAAAAAAAAAAAAAAAAAAAAGTTTCAGAATGTAGGATGCATTCTGTAGAGGAAGACTGTGAGCACATCCTCATAGACTACCCTGCCCAACATCATTACAGTACATAAGTTGTTTTTTTTTTTCCCCTTTCACGCGTGGGCAAAAGAAAACTAGTAAGATTTATGAGACTCGTCGACCCTGGGTCCCACCATCAATTTCTTTGAGGACAGACCATTACATTGTAATTTCCCAACACAAGCAGAGGTACTTGTGGTTTAAGGGATAGGATAAAAATATATATATATTTAAATATAATAATAATTTTAATAATAAAAAATACGATTTTTCATTGTTTATAACAATAATTTTTTAGATCATTGTTTTGAAATTAAATATTTTTTTTTTATATTTATGAACTCGTTTTTTTTTATGTCTTGGCTGCCAGCTAGGCCGTCCGGATCACCTTATTTGACTGATCGGCCCGACAATGCGAGGATTCGAGAAGTGTCAAAAAAAAAAAAAAAAAAAAACACCTCAAAAACATCTACGTGATGTATAAAAATAAATTGAATAACTTTTGTCTCATGTTCACATCAAAATTATTTACTAAATTTAAAATAAAAATTAAAATAAAAATTAAAATAAAAATTAAAATAAAATTTATTACTAGGCTACCATTCAGAACGCCCGGTGTCATGGAATCGGCTCTCGCCTTTTTCGCAAAGGCAAAACCCCTCCCGAACATGTCACGCATGAGTTGAAAAAAAAATGAAACAAAGTTGACTTAGGACGATGCATAAATAATCCCGCGAACCGCAAATACAGATATGGTTGCATCGCTTCTTTGCCGCTCTGATTGGGTGCGCCAACAGTACATCCCAATTTATTTATTTTTAACTCCTGCGTGACATGGCTGGGAGGGCTCTCGCCTTTGCGAAAAAGGAGGGAGCCGATGCGCACGATACTGGGTCACCCTATTTTTCCGAGCGCCCCAACCGTGCAAGGAACAGGGAAGGACCATGCAAAAAAAAAAAAAAAAAAAAAAAAAAAAAAAAAAAAACTATGTTATGTAGGAAAATAAACTAACAATTTTTGCCTAGGATTACATCGAGATTATTTACCAAATTTAAATTTAAAAATAATTTATTATTGATTATTTTTTATTATTTTGTGGCCCAGTCGGACAACTAGTTCCGAGCCACTCTGGTAGGAATAGGAAAGAGTGCAATAGCGTCAGAAACGCAATCACCTCACAGCAAACACGACAAAGTCGAAAACGACACAAAAGTCGAAAGCGATATAGACGAAAGAAGTTGTACTTGCATTATGAAAAAAAATTGTCAACTCCTGGGAAATGCTTAGTGGTCAACACAGTGAAGCGCAAGCATAAATGGAAAGTAAGTCTGTCTGTTCGGTCAGCATCAACAGAATAGTCGACCACTCTTATCGCGATAGTGTCCCGTCAGACCAAAAAAATGTCTTATCCGTTAGTCCTACTGTTTTTATCCCAAACAACACTCACTATTCTCGTTCCCTTATCTAAGACAAAGTCCCTACTACCCCCCTTGCTCCCATTCGTGGTCCCTCAAACAGATCCCAGTTCCGGTGTCGAGCGCATCGGCCCTCGCGTGAACGAGGGCCCTCCCGACTATGTCGCGCAGGAGTTAGAACAAAACAAAATCAAGATACAACTTAGGACGATGCATACGTGATTCCGCGAACCGCCGAGACGGACGCGGTTCCATCGTCCCTTCGTTGCTCTAGCCGGGTGCGCCAGCTATACATCCCGCGGTCCCCTACGACAAGATAGGTTTTCGCGGGGTGCAACTTACTTTCCCAGAGGGGCTGTCACCACCCTCAGGGGCGTATCCCTACCGAGCTGCTGACCCACGTGCAAAAGCTTTTACATGCAATTGCAGAGGTAGGTCAGCCGAGGGCGTTTGCTCGTTCGCTGAAGTATAGGTGCGCTTGGTTAACGCCAAGTGGACCCGAACGTTGTCCGTTCCCGAGAGCGCTGATCTCCTTGGTACGAACGAGCGTCGGTCGACTAGGATGGCTTCAACCAAACGTGAACCCCAACATATAATCCTAATCCCTTTAT